GGCCACCTTGGGAAGAGAGCACAGGCAGGCAGGTGAGGGGGAGCAGGCAGGGGGGAGCCCCAGGGAAGGGCAGGGCGGCTGCAGAGCCCTGAGGCAGATGAGGTGCAGAGAGGGGGGTCAGGGAGAGGAGCGAGGACCCAGACCACCCCAGGCACCCTGCAAACCAGACCTTACCCTCGGGAGACTCCTCCTGCACGTAGGTGCCAGTCAGGTAGCGGTGCACCAGGGCCGACTTGCCGCTAGACAGGTTCCCCACGATGCCCTGAAACACAGATGTGTGTCACCCCTGCACCCAGGACACCTCCCTCCACACCAGGCCACCCCTGAGGAGACCACCAGCAGTCGGGGCCATGATGATGGTGGGCAGAGATGGCCATGGGAGGGCAGAGGGGCTGGCACAGCCCGGCTGGCACCTGCTGAGGAGCCTGGGGACACTAACTGGCCGCAGTCACACAGGCACGGGGGTGCAGACACCCAGACAGAGGGTGCTGAGGACCCTCGTCCTCCCCCAAACAGGTGCAGTCCCGTCAGTGCCACAGCAGCTCTTCCCTCAGCCCTCTGCTCCTGGCGGGACACCTGCCCCCCTGAGCCACAGCCAACCCTGAAGGAAAAAGCCCCCCTGCCCCAGCCCCGCTCATCTCAAAGGTTGGGGTGCTGCAGCTGGGGGTGGCAGCCCTGCCAGAAGAAGGAGCAGGAACTGGCAGGACCCCAAGCACCAGCTTCTGAGTGAGCTGACAGACACCCAGCTCTGAGTTCTAATTGGGTTCAAACACACTAGGCCAGGGCTCTGCCACTCTGGATCACCCTTCAAATGGACATGCCCCAGGATAAACAACCCAGCTTTTCCCAATGCCAGCATTTTCCCAACAATTCAAAAAATCTCCAGAGCAAGGGGGCCTGCGAGTGAGGCTGCCTGCTGGGGGAAGAGCAGCCTGGGGTGACAGGGCATCTTCTGCCTCCCTCTCCAATAGCCTGGTCCTGACTCCTCAGCTTCTGCCCTGCAGCTATTCCCCACATCCACAGGGAGCTCCTGGAGAGGACTCCTGGGTTCCTGAGCATCCCACCTCGTGCTCCTCTGGCCTCAGCTGCAGCACTGCTCGGACAGAGCTGGGGGGAACGCCGGGGTGATGCAGAGCTGCCCCTCACCCTACCCCTTGGCAGGGCAACCTGGGCAAAGCAAGCTCCCACCCCTTTTCCACACAGCCTCACAAAAAGCACCTGATCCACCCTAGGCTTTGGATAGCCTGACCTCACCATGGATCTTCTTGTATGGAACCAACTCCTGCTTTAGGGCATGCTACACTTGATCTTTTCCAACCTTAGTGACTCCATGTTCTATTTAGATTGGATATTAGGAAAAAAATGTTTACTGAAACAGTGGTCAAGCACTGGACAGACTGCCCAGGAAAGTGGTGGAGTCACCATCCCCGGAGTTGTTAGAAAAACATGCATATGTGGCACTTTGAGATATGGTTTAGTTGGCATGGTGGGATTGAGTTGACAGTTAGACCTGATGATCTTAAGAGGTCTTTTCCAATTTTAACAGTTCTGTGATTCTAAACCAGGCTCCCAGTGTCCCCATGGACACCCTTGAGGTAGGTGTCCAACACACCAACACCATCATTTGAAGCAGCTGCCCATGCTAACCCATGAAACCCAGAACCTGGAGGCTTCTCCACTACTGAAGATTTCAGGGTTTGTCCCATCAACTTTTTGTTGCTCCTCCCCAGCCTGTCGTCCACCTAAAAGCTCCTGCAGGCATCCTCCCTTGTCTGTCCCCAGGGTTAGTTAGCATGGATGTGGGGACCTGCTGTTTCACTGGCATTTAAGATGTCTGGAAACCTCTGTCCCAGGACATGCTGGAGAACACAGGAACACAGCCTGCCAGCCAGGCTGGTGTCCTCACTGGGGCTGGGGGACGAGGCACCATTTGTGCCTCTCCCAGAGGGAAGGCCAGGCCTGCAGGAATTGCTGCTGTCCCTCAGACACAGACTCCTCTCTGTGAGCAGCAGATGGAGCAAGTTCCAGGATAAAACTGAGGCTGGAAAAGATGCAGAGCATAGTTTAAACAAAACCTTACAGAAAGCACACTGACCACTTGTGGTGCATACGGGAACAGGAGCAGGGCACAAGGAAGATCCTCACCTCCTGCAGGAGAGGCTCGTTCCTGCAGGAGGGATGTGTGCTGTGGTCAACGCTTTATGTGCCATTTAACAGAAGCCCCCAGTGACTCCATGGTTTTCCGTACTCAGGGAATTATGAATCTCAGTTCATAGGCACAGTGTAGGTGTCCCCTGGGGACAAGGACCAGCAGACACAGAGCAGGTGCTTCGTGCCAGCCTCCCCCAGCACGAGCTGTGAGCTCTGCCAGGCATCGAGAGCCCGCGCTGGGCTGGCTCGGGGCTGCAGACACCTCCTCCCCGTGGTGCATTTGGTGGAGCACCACGCAGGCAGGACCAAGAACCAGGTGGCTTTGGATCACTGCTGGGCTGCCCAGCCAGAGCATCTCCCTGCATCCCACCTGCCTCCAAGGACAGGGAACAGACACCAAGCCAACAACCCAGGACCTGCCATGCTGGGACTGAACCAGAGTTCTGAGAGGCCTCCAGGCTTAGAGGAAGAGCTGCCCTGGCCAGCTGAAACCCTGGAGCAATGGAGATCCCCAGGGGCACAGAAAACATGGGAAAAGGATGGTGCTCAAGGAGGAAGGACTAAAACCTTCAGACTGTTTACCTCGCAACACTGCTCTGCAGCCTGCAGAATGTTCACCTGTCAGAAGGAAATGCACAGAATAGCTGCAGGAATATTTGGGAAGGGACGCACACTTTCCAAGCCAAACTAAGAAACTAGTATCTGAAGTTTCTTTTAATTTTGACTTCACTGCAGACAAGGAAAACGGTGGCAGAGTGGTGCCAGTGCATCCAGCAAAACGGCTTCTTGTTTCTCAGATGAAGAGCAAAACCCTTCATCCTGAAAGGTCTGGAGGGATTCATGCCAACAGGCTCCAGAGGGAGCTCAGGGCTGCCAGGGAGAGTGAGAGTGGAACAGATCGCCCATGTGAACCGGCTATGCTGGGGAGAGCAGGGAGCAGGGGTGATGATGCCTGGCAAGAATGTGCCCTGGGAAACCTGCCCTGGGGGGTCAGCTACACGATCAGAACATTTCTAGATGGAAAAGACCTTTAAGATAAAGTCCACCAGTTCCCCCAGCCCTGCCAAGGCCACCTCTGCCCCACGTCCCTCAGCACCATCTCCAGAGCTTGGAAACCCCTCCAGGGATGGGGACTCCCTCCCTGCCTTGCCAGGCAGGAATTGTTCCCCAGATCCAACCTCAACCTCCCCTGGCACAACTTGAGGCCGGTTCCTCTTGTCCCATCCCTTGTTCCTGGGGAGCAGAGCCCGACCCCCCTGGCTCCAACCTCCTCTCAGCAGCTGCAGAGCCAGCAGGTCTCCCCTCAGCCTCCTTTGCTCCAGGCTGGACACCCCCAGCTCCCTCAGCTGCTCCTGCTCACACTTGTGCTCCAGCCCCTTCCCCAGCTCCCTTGCCCTTCTCTGGACATGCTCCAGCCCCTCCATGTCCTTCTTGTCCTGAGGGGCCCAGACCTGATCCCAGAATTCCAGGTGCCCCCTCCCCAGTGCCCAGCACAGGGGGGTGATCCCTGCCCTGCTCCTGCTGGCCACCTCAGTGCTGACTCAAGCCAGGATGCTGGTGGCCTTTTTGGCCACTTGGGCACACGCTGGCTCATCTCCAGCCACTGTCCACCAGCATTCCCAGGCCTTTCTCTACTGGACAGCTTTCCAACTGCTCTTCCCCAAGCTTGGAGCATTGTCTGGGGTTTCCAAAGGAGTTTCCTTCCCTCTCTCTGACAGAACAAAGCACCTGAGGTGACATTTCATGCCACCAGCATCCCTCCACAGCAGGGGCACTGCAGGGCAGTTGTGGCCCATAGAGGCCAGGGAAGTGCCAGCACAGAGCTGAAGCCAGGGAGGCTCACAGGGAGAGATGACACCTTCCAGGTGGTGACTCCCATGCCCGGACGGTTGCCCTGTGGGTGACAACCCTGGATGCATTCCCAAACTGCCTCAGGATCTGCCGTGTCAGAAGGTCTGACCCGAGAAGCAGCATATGGTCAGCAATGATGGCTCTGCTATGGCCAGCAGGAAGGGTGATCTGCTCAGATACTGCCTTTCCATCTCCACATCCATGTGCTCTCCCAGATCAACACCCTCTCCCTTTCAAGCATGAGCCACCGAGGAGCCCTGGTCTTCTCCAGCACAGCAGCAGACCCAGCTCCTCTCTCCTCTACCGGCCAGGCTGGAACCCCCGTGCACTTCCACTGGCCACATTAAAACGTGGGATTTTCTTGGGGATTTGGAGAAGCATCAGAGAAGCAGGGGTGTCTGAGGCACGAGTCATGAGTACTCACCACCTTCAGCTCAGGCACCGAGCGGCTCAGGGTCCATTCCTGGCTGTTCACAAACGAATCTGCAGAACAGAGAGAAGAAATTGTCAGGTCACTGTGGTGTGTCTCTAGACATCCCAACAGGGATCCTGCCACACTCTCCCTGCTCCCTCCAGGCAGGAGACTTATGGCTCTTCCCTTCCTTACACCTTGTCTAGAGACACTAAGGTCCATGAGATCCCAATGCTGCCCATGCCCAGAGGCTCAGCATCCAGAGCTCCGGCTGGAAGGACCAGTGGAGCCGAGGGCAGCACAGAGCCCAGGGCTGGGGATCCTCCCTGTGAGGGCACAAAAGGCCCTGCAGGATCCCCCTCCTCCAGGCGCTGGGATGATGGAAGCACCAGGCTCCTTCCTGGGAGGCAAACACTGAGAAGGAGCCCAGGGATGGAGGGGACATGGGGTGAGAGCAGCACCCCAGCACAGCACCCCGGCTGCAGCACCAGCGCGTGGCAGGCAGGGCAGGCAGCACGCTCTGACCTCTGCTCACGATTGAAAGTGAACACAATTAATGGAATGCACATTATGTAATTTGACTGTCACAGGCTTAAGAAGGTTGGAACAATCCAGCAGGGCTTGGAGCCACAGGGAACACCCCCTCTCCTGCTGCAGGAATCACACAGTCCTTTACATCCAAACAATCTCCAGGAGCTGGTCAAACAACAGACTTCCCAAATAAAACCAGACTCCCTGGAGGAGGAGCAAGAGCCTCGAGAACACCTGAATACCAGAAGCAGCCACTCCTAACAAACTCGGAGTCCTTGACTTTCCTTGGAGGAGGAAGCACATCCTGCACCCCAAGGCAGATGCCCGGCATGGAGGTGCCACAAGGCAGCAGCACTTGCTGTAGGTTAATGGTGTTCAAACTGCACGAGATTTCTGAGGACAGAGCCCTGAGGAGCACTGTTTCTGCAGGAGCCTGTGCTGCACTGGCCTGACTGGCTGCCACAAACCCCTGCAAAAACAGAAACCTCAGATGGGGTCAGACAGGGACCAGGTCACCCTGCAACACCCACCGAACAGAACGGCCCCAGGGCCAACGGGCTCGAGCCACCCAGGGCCGTGGTGGGACTCGGACCGAAGGTGGGGAGGATGGCTCTGCTCCCCCCCTGCCCTGTCCTGGCAGCTCCTCTTGGCACCCCCAACCCCACCATCGCTCTCCAGGGCAGTCCCAGCTCTAGGCACTGGCACCAGCTCTGCCCAAACCAGCCAGGCAAGCTGAAACTCCTGCAGCTGCCCTGAGCCAAGCACCGCAGGCAGACACAGGGCAGAGCAGGAAACGGCACCAGACCCTGCCAGCTTGGAGGGCAACACCAGGCTCCTCAGCCCTGCCAGGAGCTACCCAGGGACTGCCTGCACCCCAGGTTATGCTCCTGCCTCCCCAGTACCCAAGGACAGGACAGACACACCACGGTCACAGCACTCTTCTCCTCCAGACCTTCACCTGGCGCTGTGCAGCCCAGAGCTGCCTGGGGAATCGTCCACTCGGTGGCTGGGGAGCTTGGGGGGGCCCTGCCCTCTGTGCCTGCACCCCAGTCTGCTGGTGGAGGGGAAAATGGATGATCCCCTCTGTTGCCTTTATGGGCACCTGTGCAACTACCAGCACCCTCAGGCCACAGTGCACGTTCCATCGTGTCTAAAAAGCCAAGTCTATGGCACTGATACCCGGAGTTCACCAAACACTAACTCAGTAACACTTCTTCAGCCCTGACACCCCACCCCTGACACCCCAGTTTCTCTGCACGGGGCAGGACCCCAGGCCTCTGTGCCCCAGTGCAGCCCAGCAGGTGCGAAGGAGCAGGATGGGAACAGCAGGTTCTGCTGTGGGCAGGGGAGGCCGAGGCTGCCCAACATCACCACCCAGAGCTGCCACCCTGAGTTGCCCAAGGGCCCGTGTGGCACCTCCAGCACCTGGGAACCCAGGAAGAGCAGGAACACGGCGAGAAGACAGGACACAGACCCCAGTGTGTCTAGGTGCTGACTGCTTCAGCCCCACAGCATCGTCTGGTCTATCTAGCAAACTTCAAAACACCTCACCTTTGAGTAACTGTTCTGCCCCCTTTGAAAACCACACAAAACCTCACTCCCACATCGTTCTTCATCAAGGAGCTCTAGCAGTGGAAACACCCATTCCTTGAAAACCCTCTGTCCTCTGCTTTATGCCTGGTTTCAGGGGCTGCCCCAGCCCTGCACCAGCCAGTGAAGCCAACATCCCTCACCAGTCTGACCAGCACTGCCCAATCTTCCACCACAGCCCCTCTCCACATGGCAAGTCCCAGCTGTGGGATCATTTCTTGTGCAGAAGCTGCTGTGAACCTTCCACCCTCACTGCTGTCCTCCTCCAGCAGCTCCTGTTCCGTTCAGGAGGACACGTCCACGGCACATGTTGCTGTGCAAAGCATCTCCCCATGCCTGGGGAAGGCTGGCTGCTGGGAATGGCACTGGGACCTGGTTCCCTGCATGCCTGGCTGCTGGCTTCAGTGTCCAGTCTGCAGCTCTGGCTCCAGACCATCCTCCTACAGAGTCTGGGGGCTTTACACCTGAACCTCCCCAAAACTGGAGGCGTTAGCTCTGCTTCCCCAGGCCCCTCCATTAATAAAGCAATGTTCCCACACACACCTCTAGCACTCCCTGCAGACCATGGGGAGAACTGTGGCTCTGGCTGTCAGGAGGAAAAACAAACAGCTTCAGCTGCATCAACCACCCACCTGCAGCACCTCCTCCTGCCCTACGTGCCTTAAGAGCGGGGTCCATATGTGGCAGTCCCTGCAGCACCTGAAATCACCATTTCTAAACACAAAGCCCCAATTTACACCATTCCCACCTACCACAAGGTACTCAAGACCATCAGCTAATTCAGGATGGCCTGAGGAGCCAGAGCACTTTCACATGTCAGGCTGGGGTCCAACCCCACCTGAGTCCTTCCAATGTCTCACTGTAACTGACCCTTGGTCCTTTTTACACCTGCTCTGGTCCCAGGGCAGGCTGATCACCCTCCCCATCACACAAGGGGACAGACACAACCTGTGCACCCCATGCTGAGAAGGGGGAACAGTTTCGAGCTGAATGATGGGAGATTGTTATATTAGGAAGATTAAGGAAGTCTCACCTCTGTGAGGGTGGTGAGACCCTGGCCCAGGATGCCCAGAGAAGCTGTGGCTGCCCCATCCCTGGCAGTGTTGAAGGGCAGGTTGGATGGGGCTTGGAGCAACCTGGGCTGGTGGGAGGTGTCCCTGCCCATGCAGGGGGTGGCTCTAGATGATCTTTAAGGTCCCTTCACACCCAAAGCAGTCTGTGATTCTATGATCAGGGTGACCCATGGCTATTTGCGACGTGCCCACCTGCAGGTCCACAGATGCCTGGTCCATCAGCTCTCACGCCACCTGAACCCCATGTCCTGCAGCCCTCTGCACCCGCAGGGACAGCCCCACTGCCTGGGGTTCAGGGAATTCCCCAGCACAGACCCTCTATCCCACAGTTTTCCAGCACTCACTCTCCTCCCCCACCGGCAGCTCCCGCAGGGGCGAGCGCAGCCGCCGTGTGCAGGCAGGCACGGGTGACACCCAGGGAGCTGTCAGAAAGACACCTCCTGAGCAGTTTCTCAACCACCCAGAACAGCCACAGGCCAAGTCTCTGGCTGCCAAAAGCACTGACACAACCTGCTGATGTCAGCTCCTGCCATCCCCGGGCTGGTCGTTTGCTCCTCAAGCTCAGCACGTGGCGACCTCCTGCACCTGGTCAGAGTCAGTCCCGGCAGCGGGAGGTTGCAGCCTGTCCCCTGTGAGTGTTCCACACCCAAAGGAGGTGAGGAAGGGACAGGCCACAGCTGCAGGAGGTGCAGGTACGAGCTGGTTTAGCAGAGATTGCCCCCAGCTGGGTAACAGCTCCATCAGCAGCCCCCTCCCTTGGCTCATGAAGGCATCGGGCAGCAGTGATTTACTCGATAAGCACCACTGCTGGGCAGCTGCATCACTTGGAATGTCACAGGAAAACATTCCCAGCCAGCCTTCCTCCCTCTCCTGCTGTTTAGCACCACAGAAGGGACCAGAGTGCCAGCCCTGGCCTGAAGCCCCTCCCTGGCACAGCTGGGCCCCGCACAGCAGCAGGGACTGGTGCACAGCCTGAGCCTTGGTGTGCCATGTCCTGCACCCCTGCTGCCTGCACCCCTGCTGCCCTGCACCCCTCGCTGCTGCCTGCACCCCTTCACTGCTGCCCTGCACCCCCTTGCTGCTGCCTGCACCCCTGCTGCCCTGCACCCCTGTAAAGCTGGCAGGAGGAAGGTCTGGCCAGGCACACTGACTCCTCACTGGGCTGTTCCCTCCACGGGATGAAGCGCAGCAGGTTCATCTACCTTGAGTTGCAGAAGCACCAGTGCCAGACACATTTGGTCTCCATATGCAGCAACTAATAATTAACCAACTCGTTATCCAAGCCACTGTTGAACTAACATGGACACTGAAACCTTGGACACCAAACCCAGCCTTGAAAGCAGGTCAGAGGCTGAGCAAACACAGCAGTGCCCACACACAAGTGTTCCCAAGTGCCCACCTGCCCGCACAGGCAGATAAAAGGGCGCAGCGTGGGACGTGCCTGGGCACAGCCCCTTTTCCAGGCTCTGTAACGACTCAGCCCTGGCACTGAGAGCAGGAAGGGAGATTTCTCCATGGGCAAGGCTGGTGCTCCCATCAGAGGGCTCAGCCAGGGCGGGTACCCATGTGGGACACAATCTGAGCAAGGATTATCTCACCAGAGTTTCCAACGCTCTGCAGCAGTGAAAGGAGAGGATACTGTGTGTTCCTCAGAAAAAGGGCAGGATGAGGAGCTGCCACCCCTGCTCCTCAGCCCCCGAGCTGGGCCACCAGCCCATGTGCCAGGCAGGGCTCCAGACCAGCCAAGACTTCAGAGCCCCTCATCACCCACCACCCTCCAGACCAGCTCCAAATGCACACAGGCCAAAGAACCACAGAGGTCTCTCTGCTCCAACAGCTGGAAAGGGTCTGCTGGAACGGACAACGCAGCAGAGCTGGTGATGTGGAGAGACAACAACACACCACTTCCCAACATGACTGCTCTGTGGGGACCTCCCTTGCTGGTAGAAACCTGCTCCACTTTTGTCTGACCTCAGCTCTCACTGTTTAACCACACAAGCCAAGGCAGGTGAAGATCCCAACAGCTCTGCACTGGTTTTTGAAGCTCCCTCCTGTGATGGGTGCCTGCAGACTGTAAGAAGCACAGCCCTGCTCCTCCTGCACACATCTCCCATCCCATCCCACCCCAAGAATTACTCCTCTCAGATCAGCATCCCAATAACTCCTTCCTTGGTAACTTCCAGACTTCTTCAGTTTCGCTGAACTGTGGATACCAGACTGGATTCAGCATCAAAGGCATGGTCTCTAAATCCATTATGCCATCCCTGCTCCTCACCAACACTCCCAGCTAAGCTGAGGCAGGTACAAACAGGAGATGATACATATCATTATCTACCCAAGTCGCTATGCAAACTTCACCTTATTAATGTAAAAACTCCCCATTCTTCTCCCAATTGTCTTCTCACACATGCCTTACACGTTAGTCCTCTGTGTGGCCAAGCACCAAGCAGGAGTTACTTTCAACCTTAAAAAGCAGGATATCTCCCTGGGAAAGGGGAACACGATTGTGAGAAAGACTTCCTGAGCTGTGGAGCCCAAATCCCACTGCTGGATATGTTGAACGCCCTGCCTGATCTCTTCCTGCAGAGGGAAAATTCCAACCCCAAACCAGTCTGGCTTTTCGAGGCCAGTGGCTGCCAGGGGGGTGCTCAGCTCTGCACCAGCCAACACCCCTGTGCCTAGAAACCTCCCTCTAAA